CTCTCTCTCTCTCTCTCTCTCTTCTCTCTCTCTCTCTCTCTCTCTCTCCTTTCTCTCTCTCTCTCTCTCTCTCTCTCTCTCTCTTCTCTCTCTCTCTCTCTCTCTCTCTCTCTCTCTCTCCTTTCTCTCTCTCTCTCTCTCTCTCTCTCTCTCTCTCTCTCTCTCTCTCTCTCTCTCTCCTTCTCTCTCTCTCTCTCTCCTTTCTCTCTCTCTCTCTCTCTCCTTTCTCTCTCTCTCTCTCTCTCCTTCTCTCTCTCTCTCTCTCTCCTTTCTCTCTCTCTCTCTCTCTCTCTCTCTCTCTCTCTCTCCTTTCTCTCTCTCTCTCTCTCTCTCTCTCTCCTTTCTCTCTCTCTCTCTCTCTCCTTCTCTCTCTCTCTCTCTCTCCTTTCTCTCTCTCTCTCTCTCTCCTTCTCTCTCTCTCTCTCTCTCCTTTCTCTCTCTCTCTCTCTCTCTTCTCTCTCTCTCTCTCTCCTTCTCTCTCTCTCTCTCTCTCTCTCTCTCCTTCTCTCTCCTTTCTCTCTCTCTCTCCTTTCTCTCTCCTTTCTCTCTCTCTCTCTCTCCTTTCTCTCTCCTTTCTCTCTCTCTCTCCTTCTCTCTCCTTTCTCTCTCTCTCTCTCTCTCCTTTCTCTCTCTCTCTCTCTCTCTCTCTCTCTCTCCTTTCTCTCTCTCTCTCTCTCTTCTCTCTCTCTCTCTCTCCTTTCTCTCTCTCTCTCTCTCTCTCTCTCTCTCTCTCTCTCTCTCTCTCTCTCTCTCTCTCTCTCTCTCTCTCTCTCTCTCTCTCTCTCCTTTCTCTCTCTCTCTCTCCTCTCTCTCTCTCTCTCTCTCTCTCTCTCTCTCTCTCTCTCTCTCTCTCTCTCTCTCTCTCTCTCTCTCTCCTTTCTCTCTCTCTCTCTCTCTCTCTCTCTCTCTCTCTCTCTCTCTCTCTCTCTCTCTCTCTCTCCTTTTCTCTCTCCTTTCTCTCTCTCTCTCTCTCTCTCCTCTTCTCTCTCTCTCCTTTCTCTCTCTCCTTTTCTCTCTCCTTTCTCTCTCTCTCTCTCTCTCTCCTTTTCTCTCTCCTTTCTCTCTCTCTTTCTCTCTCCTTTCTCTCTCTCTCTCTCTCTCCTTTCTCTCTCTCTCTCTCTCTCCTTTCTCTCTCTCTCTCTCTCTCCTTTCTCTCTCTCTCTCTCTCTCTCCTTTCTCTCTCTCTCTCCTTTCTCTCTCTCTCTCCTTTCTCTCTCTCTCTCTCTCTCTCTCCTTTCTCTCTCCTTTCTCTCTCTCTCTCTCTCTCCTTTCTCTCTCTCTCTCTCTCCTTTCTCTCTCTCTCTCTCTCCTTTCTCTCTCTCTCTCTCTCTCCTTTCTCTCTCTCTCTCTCTCCTTTCTCTCTCTCTCTCTCTCTCTCTCTCTCTCCTTTCTCTCTCTCTCTCTCTCCTTTCTCTCTCTCTCTCTCCTTTCTCTCTCTCTCCTTTCTCTCTCTCTCTCTCTCTCCTTTCTCTCTCTCTCTCTCTCTCTCTCTCTCTCTCTCTCTCTCTCTCTCTCTCTCTCTCTCCTTTCTCTCTCTCTCTCTCCTTTCTCTCTCTCTCTCTCTCTCCTTTCTCTCTCTCTCTCTCTCTCTCTCCTTTCTCTCTCTCTCTCTCTCTCTCTCTCCTTTCTCTCTCTCTCTCTCTCTCTCTCCTTTCTCTCTCTCTCTCTCTCTCTCTCCTTTCTCTCTCTCTCTCTCTCTCTCTCTCTCTCCTTTCTCTCTCTCTCTCTCTCTCCTTTCTCTCTCTCTCCCTTTTCTCTCTCCTTTCTCTCTCTCTCTCTCTCTCTCTCTCTCTCTCTCTCTCTCTCTCTCCTTTCTCTCTCTCTCTCTCTCTCTCCTTTTTCTCTCTCCTTTCTCTCTCTCTCTCTCTCTCTCTCCTTTTTCTCTCTCCTTTCTCTCTCTCTCTCTCTCTCTCCTTTTTCTCTCTCCTTCTCTCTCTCTCTTCTCTCTCCTTTCTCTCTCTCTCTCTCTCTCTCTCCTTTCTCTCTCTCTCTCTCTCTCTCCTTTCTCTCTCTCTCTCCTTTCTCTCTCTCTCTCTCTCCTTTCTCTCTCTCTCTCTCTCTCCTTTCTTTCTCTCTCTCTCTCTCTCCTTTCTCTCTCTCTCTCTCTCCTTTCTCTCTCTCTCTCTCTCTCTCCTTTCTCTCTCTCTCTCTCTCTCTCTCTCCTTTCTCTCTCTCTCTCTCTCTCTCTCTCTCTCCTTTCTCTCTCTCTCTCTCCTCTCTCTCTCTCTCTCTCTCCTTTCTCTCTCTCTCTCTCTCTCCTCTCTCTCTCTCTCTCTCTCTCTCCTTTCTCTCTCTCTCTCTCTCTCTCTCCTTTCTCTCTCTCTCTCTCTCTCTCTCCTTTCTCTCTCTCTCTCTCTCTCTCCTTTCTCTCTCTCTCTCTCTCTCTCCTTTCTCTCTCTCTCTCTCTCTCTCTCTCTCTCTCTCTCTCTCTCTCTCTCTCCTTTCTCTCTCTCTCTCTCTCTCTCTCTCTCTCTCTCCTTTCTCTCTCTCTCTCTCTCTCTCTCTCCTTTCTCTCTCTCTCTCTCTCTCTCTCTCTCTCCTTTCTCTCTCTCTCTCTCTCTCTCTCTCTCCTTTCTCTCTCTCTCTCTCTCTCTCTCTCCTTTCTCTCTCTCTCTCTCTCTCTCTCTCTCCTTTCTCTCTCTCTCTCTCTCTCTCTCTCTCTCTCTCTCCTTTCTCTCTCTCTCTCTCTCTCTCTCTCTCCTTTCTCTCTCTCTCTCTCTCTCTCTCTCTCCTTTCTCTCTCTCTCTCTCTCTCTCTCTCTCCTTTCTCTCTCTCTCTCTCTCTCTCTCTCTCTCTCTCCTTTCTCTCTCTCTCTCTCTCTCTCTCTCTCTCCTTTCTCTCTCTCTCTCTCTCTCTCTCTCTCCTTTCTCTCTCTCTCTCTCTCTCTCTCTCTCTCTCTCCTTTCTCTCTCTCTCTCTCTCTCTCTCTCTCTCTCCTTTCTCTCTCTCTCTCTCTCTCTCTCTCTCTCCTTTCTCTCTCTCTCTCTCTCTCTCTCTCTCTCTCTCCTTTCTCTCTCCTTTCTCTCTCTCTCTCCTTTCTCTCTCCTTTCTCTCTCTCTCTCCTTTCTCTCTCCTTTCTCTCTCTCTCTCCTTTCTCTCTCCTTTCTCTCTCTCTCTCTCTCTCTCCTTTCTCTCTCTCCTTTCTCCCTCTCTCTCTCCTTTCTCTCTCTCCTTTCTCCCTCTCTCTCTCCTTTCTCCCTTTCCTTTCTCCCTCTCTCTCTCCTTTCTCCCTTTCCTTTCTCCCTCTCTCTCTCCTTTCTCCCTCTCCTTTCTCTCTCCTTTCTCTCTCTCCTTTCTCTCTCTCCTTTCTCTCCCCCCCTCTCCTTTCTCTCTCTCTCTCTCTCTCTTTTGAGTATGCATATTCATGTAAATATGTGCATATATATTGTTCAAAATGTGCCCTGCGGGACAGTCATGCACCTTTTATACTACTCTGTATAATTGTTTGTCGTCACTGGACCAAATAAATTTATCAATTAAAATTCTCTCTCTCTCTCTCTTTCTCTCTCTCTCTCTCTCATCTCTCTCTCTCTTTCTCTCTCTCTCATCTCTCTCTCTCTTCTCTCTCTCTTCTCTCTCTCTCTCTTCTCTCATCTCTCTCTCTCTCTTCTCTTTCTCTCATCTCTCTCTCTCTCTTCTCTCTTTCTCTCTCATCTCTCTCTCTCTCTTTCTCTTTCTCTCATCTCTCTCTCTCTCTTTCTCTTTCTCTCATCTCTCTCTCTCTCTTTCTCTCATCTCTCTCTCTCTCTCTTTCTCTCATCTCTCTCTCTCTCTCTTTCTCTCATCTCTCTCTCTCTCTCATCTCTCTCTCTCTCTCTCTCTTTCTCTTTCTCTCATCTCTCTCTCTCTCTCTCTCTCTCTCTCATAATTTAATGACTGAAAATATTTCAGGCCACAAAAGACAGACCCCAAAGCCTGCAATGAAGAAGTTAGTGTTGAAGAATCCAAACAAACTGCTCAGCCTCTCAACAATAATGATGGGGTAAGAATTAATGCATTGAATTCCCATTAAATTTTCTAAAAAAAATCAAATATGTCTAAAAATATATGAGAGAGACCCAGGAAAATGTAATGGATTTAATGCTTATATATAACTCCAGGAGCACAAAACCAGCTGGGCAAAAATGGCATTAGCCTCAAAAGATTATATGGAGAGATTGGCAGCTGAACTCAAGGAAAAGGAAGAGCAGGAGAAGATCAAAAAGATGAGGCTAAACACCAGACCGCAAACGAAACCTCAAGGTTTGTATTGATGTAGTGCTATAGTTTCAATGAGCATTATAATATTGAAAATGGTAATGACCTAATATGAAATTTGAAATGACCCCCTAACCTCTAACTCCTAACAGAGAAGGTTTTAGTGCCCCGAGAGCGTGATGGCAAGCCCTTGAGGAGGGATGGGCCACCTCGAGAAAACCGCCTCTCTGGTGAAATGGGTTCTGCAAAGTTTAGGCCAAGAGACTCTGCAAGACCAAAGTCACCGAAGTGAAGGTGACAGTGAGAGATCCACCGAGACAGAGGCCGCCCACCAGGCTGGGTAACCATAGCCAGAGGATCAAAAGGGATGAGGAGATACCTCTTCAAGTATTGCTGCTTCCCTCACACATACCAACATGGAAGTCAGCAATTTCTGCTGTTGGTGTCCTTTGGCAAGTGGTGCAAAAAGGGTAGCTATATACAGTGTAACTTCCCCCAGCCTGGTGACCCTGCACCCCACATTGTTGCCCAGCATTGTGTTGCTGCATCAAAAGTGGCTGCATCATCCTTCTCCAGTGCCTAAGCTGTCTGCCATTTAATGTACATAATTATGACATAACCGTGCTGTTTGCTCCCGTATGCAATTTGCCCGTCTGGAGAGCGTGTGACCGGTGCCAAACGTGGGGCAATCCTGCTTACTTGTACAGTTGAGAGTTTATTTTTGACTATGATAGCCTTGTACATTATTGAAAATTTGGAAAAGCTACATCTGAAACTATGTAGCTGCTTCTTTTGAGTGTGTATATGTGAGTGCTTGTCTCGTGGCTGAATCAAAATAAAGAACAGCCCTCTCATTGCATATTGCTTAGAGGACAAATATTTAAATTAACTTAAGACATTGGTTCCTCATAGATTGAAAATGAGGATGTAATTACTACAGAACATTATGGCCACAACTATTTGTTTGTGGCAGTGTTGTCGTAAACAAACCTAAGGTTGCATTATTGGCACCTCTCAATGTTTTGGCTGTGACCCAAGGAACAAGTCTTTCTTCTTGCTGAAGTGTACTTGATCCATGTAGAGGAAAAGAGGTGTTTAATATGTGAATATGTATATGAGGGTGTGAACTGGCCCAAAGGAGCAAGTCTACTCCTGCCACCCATCCCCTGCTGCGACACAGGTTGTGAGTGTGCCAGTGACAAACACTTGTTTTAGACAAATCTCTGGGGATGTGATTATAACCAGCCAGGGAACCTATTACAAATTGGGACTTTTGTATTGGTTTTGGCTGATATGCAAGTGATATAAAACAAATGAAACTCCTAAATCAGTGGTAAACTAGTGATGTAAAGAGCATTGTTTGACCAGCAGGTGTGTGACAATAAATGTGTTACTAGTTGGTTGTTTATGAGTGTTTAACATAGGAGATTGCATCCTGCAAATGAGCTAGTACTGTGTTAAGATCTCGATGACTTCAAGAGTGAACATGTACAGAGGTGAATAATGTCCATATTGATAGTGACCCTAATCTAGGGTTTGGTTTTAAGCGATATACAATTGTTGACTTGGTATACGGGAGTGAGTGATAGATTGCCTGGTAGGTGTATGTTGGAATACTGTGTCCTGAGCTTGGTTCTGTGTTGTACAAAACACAATCTCGATAACATTTTCCTTTAAAGAAGTGCTCTTGTTATAGAAGCATTTAGACACTATACCAGAGATTTGGTTGTCAATGAGTGTTGGATAGTAAAGAATTTATTACAAAGTCATGGCTTCCATATTTTCCATTTGCCGTTGTAATTGCCAATAGTTGTGCTCGTCTGAAATTGCTTATTGGCCAGTGGGCATGAAGCTTTAGCCCAAGTCACATACTAAAGCTTTGCTGAAAATGTGCTTGCAAAATTTGAATACCTAATACCTCTCTAGTTTAGCCAGAGATCCGAAGAGCCAGCCTCAAAAGACATAGTTTCATTTACTGTTAATCTGGTGCGGAAGACAAGGTGAGTGCAACCTTTGGCCAATAGCTTTGGACTACAGCTTTGATCCTTCTATGTGAGCACCAAGGCTTTATTGCTGCATGTTAGTGGTGTGAGGGGAAAAGTACCAAGACAGTAGGTCATCCTGTTGTAAAGGAGAAAATTATTGGCCTTGACTTGTATTGCACACCGTACTCTTATTTACTTGGTATTATTTATGTCTAGAAGTTTATTGGTATTCCAGTATGCATTTACTGAATTAAATCATTGGAGGATGGCAATAGCTCTTCTGTTAAGGTTGTAATCTTATTATCAAGACGAAGGTTGTCATCTTCCATTGAACCACCTAAAATAGCACAAGACTATTCATCACAACGTCATCAGATTTTGCAGTTCGAGATGTGTAGAAAGTCCATGATAGTTGGAAGTAGTATATTCAGGTTTTATAATGGCAAGACTGTAACGTCTTAGTCACCCAGTAATCATGGAAGTAAAAAAAGGGAGGTTCCTCCTGAGAAAAGTTGTTGCAAATGCTGACACATGTAGGCCTATAACCCTCATCTGTGTTGTCACTACTCAATACTGCCTGTCATTGTCACTTCATTTATGTTTTAAGCATCAAAAATCACATAGGTATATATATATATAATTTTTTTTTTTTTTTTTTTTTTTTCCCCCTTAATTTTTCTTTTCTTTTCTGGGATAGCAAATCATCTATTACATTATATTTAATAAGTTAATATAATGATAACTTAAACAGTTCCTTAGTTTCTTTTGATATCCAGAGTCTAGATAATTTTTGAAGAAGCTACAGAAGGACTTGTTTGTTCGTTTTAATGGTAAGTGAAATGGAGCCAGGTTTAGTGACCTTCCTATTTTCAATCAGATGGCAAACCCAAATTTGTTCACAAAAAGGATAACGAGACTCCCAGGTCCTCGATGAAAAGAGGGAAGAATAAGATTAAAAAAAAAAAAGAAAAAAAAAAAGTAGATGAAGAAAATCATGTGTTAGTGTTTCTGGTGTTTGCCTTTTTTTATTAATTTGTTGAATTCGTGTGAGCTCGTTTGGAAACCTTTATTTCACATATGCAATTTTGTTCTAGTTTAGTTGTTATTAGACCAAACATGCCGTAACTTATGATACGACTATAATTAACTTGAAATTGTAAGCATTATACATGGAGGCAAAATGTACATGAATGAGCTGAAGGGAGAAATGCACTTTAGACTATGCTAATTAGACATCCTATTCAATTCTATATAAATATAGGGAAAGTGAAGGATTTTCTTTTTTTCATTTTTTACATCCCTGCAGCTCATACCATGTATAAAAGACACGTACACGAGGCTGGGAGTTACAAAGCACATTAGCTTCTGAAAAATTAAACCTGGATAGAAACTACCGCCTTGGCTCCTTTTGGTGCACCAACCCATTTCAAGTTTCAAGAGTGGAAAGTCCTTCATCTCGGACTCAGGGTGGAATGTCTACCACTAGTACCTGAGATAAATAGCCCCCAAAGTATACATGTTTTTGGATATGAAGGTGTGATCATTTGTCATGCCTTTCGTAACCATCACCACGATTTACATATATTCTACTAGAGACTGTAGACTCTTTGGCTGGTGTGAGACCATCACAGTTACTCAGGAACTCAGACCGTCAGATGGCAGTGAATGAGACCTCGTCTGGAGGTCGCTGTTGGGGTGCTGTCTGTCTCACTGATTCTAGGGTGCTGATTATATGTTGCAAGGATAATATTTATGCTTGTTTTAAACTGTATGTATCATGAGATTATTTCTAATTTTCAAGAGGATGTGAAAACACATGAAATATTGGACAATGTCCATGAGCTGGGTGTAATTTGTTGATGTGATGCTACGATATGATTCCACTGTAATCTTGGTGAGGTGGTCCCGTGAAGGCTTCCCCCGTCAGCCCCTTGAGCTGGCGGGGGACGTGACTGTACTATAACCATCAACACGATGTAATATTTGCTCTCAAATGATGTTAATAATCCTGATATTCTGTATGCCTTGTTCTTCTTTTTGTTTCAAGTGGTTATATACATAATACTGATGCCATTATGCAAGATGTATGAAATGTGTGCGTGTGTGTGTGCGATCTCAAACCTGTATTTAACTTGACACTACAGATGTATAAAAAATACACCAGCTCCTCGAGTGATTCTCTGGACAGACTTTGTGAAGGAGTAAGCCAGGGTATATAAAGTAGTAGTCTGTAAGAACACTTCCAATGCTGTCACTACGCCATCACCACCTTTCTCTCACTCGCTCAACACAAAACAAATTCTTTGTTTCTGTTAAAAATTTAGTTTGAAAATAAATTTCGCATGTGGTTTTCAGTGGAGAACTTTTTACTCAGCCTTTATACAAATGTTACCATTACTTGTATAGAGTGTTATATTAACGTGGCTGTATGTGTGAGCTGTCCATAGATTTACTCTGCAATTTCACGGAAGCCTATGTATTGTATCAAGAAAATATTTGTGAGAAAATAACATCTCCATACCTTAGAAAAAGGTTGGATGCATGAATTTGTTGTTTCTGGTAAAAGTAACAATCCAACAAGTAGTAGTGTGACTTGTCCTTCATTCTGGAAAATAAATTGTGTTATTCACAAGACCATGCTTTATGTTTAATCAAATTCCAAGTATTTTAGGAATCAAACTACTTGGAATAAGTGTAACATTTTTGTTTAGATATACATATCATTCCTCCACTTTCAAGCTGTCCTCAGCTAAAGTATTTCTCATTCATCAGCAGAAAAAAAAAATTTGAATAGCCACTTGACAAAACATTTGATGAACACCGATATTAATCAGTCCAACACATTTAGTATTGACTACAGACCTACAAATTACTACTTAATTCATAGTTTGGTCATTACATAACCAGCTGGGTTAAGACTGCTTCATTTTCTTACTAGTATTCTTTGGAGACCAGTGTTTTAGTACGTTTGAGAGAATATAATACAGATTTTCCCGTAAGCCCCGTCCGCACGAGTGAACAGCATCCGGTTAACTCGGCTTTCACCACGCACGGCAGTGTCTGGGCAGTGAATTTGACAGGCTTTCAGTTGACATGTTGAAAAATTGAGTGAGAATTAATATCTTGTATTTTAAAGCTATTCATTCTTATCTATACCTATTTTACAAAGCATTGAATTGCACACTTTCATCCCCACCCCCTCGTTCTCCTCTTGTCTCTTCCCATTCTTCTATCCTTTCCTCTCGTAAGCTTTTTTCTCTCTCCTCTCCTCTTTGTTTATTAATTAAATACATTAGGTTTATCAGCATCTAATAATTAGATTCGTGAATTACTCCACTGCTGCAAGACCATCTTCCTGGTCTGCTGGCAAACAGAAGCCCCGAGTTGCAGACGCTGTACGCTCTTATGGACGGAACTTAGTCATTCCTAAAGAAACGCCTGACTGATGTGACTGCTCAAGTGTTAGAAATAAGATTATAATGCCCTTTTTGTTTTCTTTCAAAAGACTGGCAAATGGCAGCTTTCTAAGGCACGGTATTGAGAAAAAATAGTTCGAAAGTTTGTTAAAGGTCGATCAGGTTCATTTATAAGATGGCATGGGAAGCTAAATATTGCTGTTTCAAGACAACGAAAGTAAAACGGAACAGATATTAATTGGCTTTATCTTTACTGATGGGAGTATCCCTTACATTGGATACATTAAAATCAGTGTAAATCAGCAAACCTTTGCAATATTTGTAGCAATGTGTGTTTAATAGTACTTCCTTTGTTACAATGTGAGAAGGATGTAAATATTTAAATTAAATCGGTTAATGTTTCTTAAACCTTACACTTACATATGCATACAATGGAAAAGACATGTTTATTATCTAGAGGTTGGTCACTTAGCATGTAGTATTTATACAGTTATATTTGTTCTACAATCGAAGAGGAATGTACTTAATATCTTAGTTGCAAGTTTTTTTTTTCTTTCCTTTTCACCTAATATTCAGTATATTACAAGTAATGTACTTGAAAACGCTCTCGGGTGATTCCAAAGTTGCAATTCGTTGCTTTATATGTCAGCATTAGTGAGTTTGCTAAATACAGTTAGATTGCAAAGATATATACTTAATATTAATTTGTGCAAATATTTCTAACTAAATATATACATATCTTTAGATGAAAGAACGGGATCTGATGCCAGCTGTGAAAGAGTAATTTCAGTTGAATGTGACGAGAAGGACCAACCCTCAACAACCATTTAATATCTTTGAGATACTGGATACTCGCATATTCTTGAAGATAATTGTATTTTTTCCTTTATTTTTCGATTATTTGTCATAAATATGCAAAACTTGCATTTTGCAATGGTATTGTACTTGTTGGTTGTATGAGGATACAGTACATATGTTTAAAAAAAACAGTTCCGGACTTAGATTTTCTTTTCTAACCTGTGTCTTGACGTTGAGGCATTTCCAGAAAACATCCACGGAAACAAGGTAATCCGTTCCTGCTCACGTGATATAAGCAATAGTATTTGACCCGTGAATTTCTCAAACCTTCAAGTCCACTTGAAAGATGGGTTTACAAAGGGTATCCTTGAATCATCGAAACATGGGAACCGTTCAGGGCAGTTAGCCAGACTTTATCTCCTTGGCACATACAAGCTGGATTCGGTCAGGTCTGTACATTAAAACAGACACTATCTGAAGGCACGGTATTTACTGCTCTGAGTGATATTGGATGCTGTGTCTCCGAATGATCGAAAGGACTCCCAACATGTTTGTAAACACACTGCGCGACACTGCAATTTACGTATACATGTGGAAAAAAATACTGAACAGAATGAGATTGTATGGATGAAATTTGTTATACTCTTCCTAACACTTTTAAGTTTTTCGTTATTTGTACATCATTATTGATGACACACCCACGCTTAAAAAAATATATTTTCTAGAACCTAATAAGAGGGCTAGGCACTGCACCCTGACCAATCTCGGGAATGAAAAACCTGACCTCTCGTCTCGGACTTCGGATTTTCTGAATCACCAATCCTATTTAATGGTGTAAAGGATTTGTATATTAATTTTTTTTTTTTTTAATAATCCTATTATTAAGTGTCCGCGAGTTAAACCTAAGAAGGACTTGGCGAATTGGAGTCCCAGAGTCGGGTGAGTTGCCAGGTCATTTCCTGAAATTGACCGCACAATGACAAATCTGCAGATCGTTGTTAAACGGTCATCTCCAGGGTAGCATTCATCTACAATAGGCCACCCCACCTCATACCTTTATTTATTTTTATTTTTTTTTTTATCTATGTACCCCTTTTGTGGTTACTGAAAACACATACAGTAATATTCAGTTGTACATGTTTACACTATACTAAGATGTATTTTTTACATAATAGTATTATCGACAATGGAAGCATTTTCGCCTAGCCATAAGTAATCCTATTAAATAGCACTAATATATTCTTACCAATAGAACATACATATACGGCTACAAATTAATATCAACGGTACACGATCTGTCTTATTCAGATCCTCTGCAAGTGACAAATAGGCCTGCGATAGGGAATGGCCACACTGCACGCGATTTGCTGGGAGTTGAGGGTAGCGGGCCAGAGGCAAGAACAAACGTCTAATTGCGGGTAGCGAGTTCCACCAAGCTTATCCACTACGTTCTGGGCGGAATATCTGAACAATTAAATATAACAGATTTGTTATAAGTTGTTGCCCCATCGATTGGCTTATCATGACTAGGCAATTATTTTTCTTTATAACTGGGCTGCCGTTCTCTGATGGATACAATAATTTACCTTTATATAGATATTGAGCATGTAGCAGTCGATTCACTAACTAGGGCTTCCCGCATAGTTTTCTTCTTCCACTATGAACACGGCATCGCTTGTCTTTAACCTCTAGGCATCCCGCTACCCTCCACCCTCCTTGGAACTCGCGTGCCGTACCCTTGTGCAAAGGCAGGCAGCGTTAGAGAGAGAAGGCTTTATAGTTTTTATGTGCATTTGTATATATTGTGCACATTGTGTAAAAGTTAGTTTGAAAATGTGAGAAAAAGTACAAATATTTCTTAAAAAAAAAAAAAATCATTCATGTTAAACAAAGGCTTAAAGACGATCAGCGGGTACATAACCTTTCACTTGACTATGATTATGCTTCCGTATATACCGTTACATAACTTACCAGTGCTTAACATATGGCATCATAGTCTTAATCGGTGCAATGTCAGCTTGTATTGCCTATGGTTGATATATCCCCACATTGAAAATTCCTCATCTGTATATGCTGTATCGTCACATGTTTCGTATAATGTAGTC